CCCCCACCTCAAAAGGATAAGAACACTCTGGAGCGTATCCAACGACGAGCCACTAGATCAGTCCAAGGAGTCAAATTTAAATCTTATGAATAGCGGCTCCAATCACTTAGCCTTCATCCAGTGGAGTGTAGGCGTCTTAGAGGTGACCTGATGGCTTACAGTATCTTTAACACTTCTGGACATCCTGTTAAACACCTACTTGAGCTTAGTCCCAATACCAACCTAAGGGGTAACACCCGGAAATTGGGGACACAACGTAGCAGAACGGACTGTAGATACAGCTTCTACTCCTTAAAAGTTGTCAAGTGCTGGAATTCGCTACCGGCCGAGCTAGTCCAAGCAACTTCTCACGAGTCTTTTAAGAGGCAACTTGATCTATTCATAAGGTGTGAGGCTAATATCATACTGTGGTTTACCAATTTCTTTTTCCTCTTTTATCGTTAACATACCTAGGTTCCTGCCTGGAGGTATTTGTGATCCTATGCTACTAGACACGAAAGCCTGTTGAGCGGAAGCTTCTTCTATTACGTCCACAACCATTTGAACCATTTAATATCAACTTTTACTCCTGAACATACTGTTTCGTCACACAGTAGGTTAGTTCCTATTCCGTGTAGAGCAATACTGTGAAATTACATTGTAAACTGTATTTATTGTCCCTGCTTGACAGAAGTTAACCAGAATATCGTAAGTTGATGTCCATTTGGTTAATAATGTAACATCTATGTTGGGGATTAGAGAGATTGCATTGCTTTTCTAATGACTTTTAATTATTTTTTTAGGATAATGTCATGTATTTCTTTGTATAATGAAGGTATCAATAAACCACTATGGAGTTATTCTAGGCAGTGACAACTTGAGTGGAATGCAAACGAGAATTATGCACTAAAGAGCAGATTTATTACATGTATATTCTCAAGGGAATATGTCATTCAGAGAATGCTAACTTTTAGTGATATGAATGTGACTGCTTTCTCCGGGTATGCACTTGGAGCTCTCATATGACGACACAAAAACCTGTCGCAAACATCTTTACCAGTTAGCAATGCCAGTCTACATTTCAATTTCACTGAAAACATGAAGATAACTGATTAAGGATTGCCAATTACTTTATTACGACATTGGCAATACAAAAAGGACATTCGATCGCATTCCATCGCGATATATATCTACATAATTCAGCTTCATTGAAAGTCGTTTTAGAATCTGTATAGTTAAGGTATATATATATCTTATTAGTAACAATAATTACCTGTCAAAGTATGTTGTCCTTGAGTTCACAGCTGTACAGTATTGTCATCAGTATAGACCATAGGATACACAGTGATTCGTGATCAAAGTTAATGGACGCCGAACATGGATTAGAGGAAACGTATATGTTTTGATTTGCTCAGGAAGAGAACTGACTCGAATTTCAATCCTCTGGCTTATAGACAATGGACTAGGGTGACCGGAGGCCCATGATTCAGTATATTCGTAACTTGTCAAGTCCTCTAGTAAATGAACAACCTTTAACATGAGAGTGCATTAAAACCTTCGTGGTAGAAGACAAACGTATTTTTAACACTCGACTCTTGGTTCCTAATACAGACGACCCCAATAATCTTGAAGCAATAACCCTGGTCGAGCTGTTTCTATTAGTAGAAACGTAATGAGATTCATTATTACTCCATCTGATGGCTCGCATTTTGTAAGATGAAGACAAGATAGTTCGAGGATTCTGTAACCAGTTATAAAGAACATGCTTCCCTGTTACGACGCAGACAAGTAGATTCAATTAAAGCAAAGCACGAGAGAATGTGACTTATTGGTGATGTTTTCTTATCTCCTCAATGGAAATAAATGGCCCTTAGTCCAGTTCAGAGTGATAACTTATGAGGATGAACTAGCAAGACAAGTACGGTTGAGGACAGGAAAGAGAATTTTATAAATAAACATTAGGAGACTGAGTCTTCGGCTATTAGTAGATGGTGGGTGATTGCTCAGAGCCACAGGCGTACTGTCGTAATCCCTGAGTGCTTTTTGTTTATTAAATATCTGCTTTTGACTGCTCGTTATGCTTATTTTTACTCATCTTTGAAAAGGACCAACGTTCTTTAGTTGCGAGTGTTATAGAAGAAACTGAAATTATTCAATTAATTAACAACTGTCATATTGAATGTGATTAGTTTCACTTTTTTGGTTGTATTTGTTCAAACTTAGGACTTCTGTGTTCACGATTTCGACCCCAAACACTTTCGATTTCACACCGTTTTGGTTTGGTATTTTAGAAATTTCGCTCTAGAGATCCAACATTTGAGGACTCTCAGTGAAGTTTGTTAAGATCAATACCGGAACGTTTTGTCCGTAATAGTAAGACAGCATATTTACAAGAAATTTTGTTGCTTACGGTGATATAGTTGTTCGATGACTTTCAAAACAACAAACCTCTATACAAAAACTAGATTCCACTTGATATTCATAAAAAAACACCACTCTGATAGCGTCACCATTCTATCATTTGGTGCTGTATATATCAGAGAGCGTTTAAACTACAGTTTGAACTTGCATATTAACGCCACTGCTGACTTCTGATGATAATAGTAAACATCTTAATAACACAAAATCCAAAGTGACACCTAACCATACGTAAATAAAGAGGAAAATACAAAAAATGTTGTCAGGAGTCTTATAGAATACCCAAAAATGATTATAGTTCTCCATAGATCAAAGAATGAAGAAGAACAGTATTATGGTACTTTATGAAGGTCATATCACGACTTCGCCGGTTGTAACCGACCAAAACGAAGCTCAGGTATTCACGACTAAATTTATTGGTTCATCAGGTACTGCTGAACCTTTCCATCCATACTTTGAATATCGTGGTCATTAAGGAACTCGACATCTTTTATCTGCCAGGTAAACGCGATGTAAGAGAACCTATGGGACCCGATGAAATGTATCTTAGACTACCAGGGGCACTCTCACCCTTTATTGAAACTTTCTCGAGTTACAGATATACTAGAACATAGAGTTAGAGTAGACTACGAAACCGTTTACCAACCCACAATAAGTTCAGTCTTCATGCAGGTATGAGGGATAAATCTGGGAACAAATGTCCTGTGAGATTAACTAGCGTTAATATCTGGACTCCGAGAAATATTATTTGCAAAACGTTATTCAGGTGTCTAGATAAAGTTCCAATTTTCTCTAATAAGCAACACAGTTTTAAGCTTGACATCAGTTTTTCATGAACTTGGTAATAGCGCATAATGTTGACGAACTCTGCAAAACCGGTAGCTATTTACAGACAAATCGTTTATCGACTCTAGTAAGGTCATTGTCAGAATTGTGGTTATGGGTAGTTCAGTTATGTGAATAAACATTTTCCTAATTGGGCACCAACAGATAGTACGAGTTATCTCCGAGTTGATCAGCTTAGTAGGGTATCTCAAAACACAGCTTAGAGACTGGTTATGTTCCCTTTGTGTGTGAATGACTTGTAGATAAATCGCAAAAACGAATAGCTGTCTAAGCAGTCCACATTGATAATGACCTCATTAATTTCGATCGTGCATTCCCACCAGATCACAGTTTAGTACACCACGTTACTCACTGCCAATGACAACCAGTCAGCTTAGATTCCATAATCTTCAGTATATCGTACCTTGATCCGGATGTACTGTCGAATGCCGTCGTTCTCACCTTCCGATTTATATGTTTTTATGATAAGGGGAAGTTGTAGTCAGTGAATTTGGTACGTTCTGAGCATTTGCAACACTTTCGGAACTTTCCAGTTTGCGATTATCGTTTGTCTTTTTGTATGGCAATAATATAAAGATATGGGAGAATATAAGTAGCAACGGAAGTAATTTAAAGTCAAAAAATTGTCTACGAGGATTATGTGAGCGGTACACAGTTTGGCAGACTCTTAATAATATCTTCAAATGCATTGTAATGAGCGTTGGTCGCCAAGTTACAGATACATACGTGTTAAATAATGTTAAGCTAACAGTTGTCCAGGAACATAATGGTCAAGGAGTCGTCATCGAGATTTGAAAACCACTTCAAAATGCTGCGCCATATCCAACAAAATCCTTTTGAACCTTGTGTTCAAGACTTGTAGCTTTCAGTGACGTGAATGTTATATATCTTTTTGGGTTTATAATTCAAATACTTCTAATTGTCTCAAAAACGTTCAAAAACGGCAAACAGATCGGTTACCGGAATCAAAAAGCTGCCATATAATAAGTTGTTTGATAAACTGAACCTAGACTCCATGCTAGAGGTGATATAGTGTAATACTAACTTAGCAAGTGACATCCTCATTTCTATCGTCTTTGGAAAGGAGGGAATTTATGGGATGGTCTTAAAGAGTTCGCGAACCGAATGGCAATCACTTGTCAACCAATCATTCTGACTGCCAGCTTTTTATCGAATCGTCGACCAAAGATATTATTAATGAACCTAGTAAAAAAGCTTATTCAAGATGCAGCAATACGCAAAGCTAATGATAATGTACCAAAATTAATATTAACTCTATGAACTGAAGTGACTGCCTATGAATGAAAAATCGGAAATCACAAAACGTGGTATCATGAATAACTAAGACGATAGCAACTGTTATGTAATGAATGTTGATTGAAAGCACCCTCTGGGGTAACCACTGTTAGCGGAGTTCATTCGATTAACAAATGTCCCACCTCCACTTGATTAGTAACCGTTCACAATCGATGTAGACAAATAGTAGATATTGGATGAGTGTGGTTACACATAAAGTGTCACAAATAAAGAGAAAATATGGTGTTGATTTTCGTTGTTAAGAAGACCGTTAAACAAACATGTCATTATATACCTTTTACCTTGATATTTACTCAAAGCCTCATATGCTGACACATTTTTAAGGTGAAATACAATTAAATAATATACGACCGGCCACCCGGTTAATTTTTTCCATAAACTGGAATTGAACAATGCGATATTAAAATATTACTTGTGCGTAATTTGTATCATTCGCTACTATGGGAGGCAGTGGTGATCATGGTCATGATGGCCATGATGATGTTACTAGGGAAGAACTCTTTAAAGAGTTCAAACCAAGCATTAAATACCGATTTACTAGTATCGTTGGGTCAATAATTGACAAACCTGTCTCTCTTTTTCACGGTAAAAACTAAATTGCTGAAGATATTTCTGTAGAACAAGTTGTTAACAGAGTTCGCACTCCATACCCATATTATCATAAGCGGTACGACCGTGTTCCAACCATTGACCAGTGTTTAACTAATGACTTGGCTTGCATCGAGGAGGCCAATCAGCAATTCCATAGAGACCGGTAAGCCTGTATCCTGAGTAATTTTGTCCGATTGGATTTCGAATATTTCTGTTTCTTGTATTAACTCAGTAGACAAGTATGTGTTCATTGGTTAACTTGTTTGCCGAAAGTTTGGGTTTAGTCTGTAGTTTTTGTCTGAACTTCAATGAGACAGGTTCATTATATTCTGCTCACAGTACGTTTTTGCAATCGGTATATAAATCAGGAACTACTTCAGTATAATGAAAGTGTATGCTAATAGGAAGACACATTTTCACTATTGTCACCATAGGCCAGATTGTCATATGATCTATATCTCGACTGACACACGAAGACAAAGATGATAGGCGAAAACAGTTAAATATCACGGCTATCACGCCTGGTTACTCATTATGATAAGTGGAAAGTTTCAAAAGTGTACTTGTTGCACCATTATAGGGGGAATATATATCACAGTTTGTGTTTTATAGCAAACTGTCCCATATAGTCAAATATCTCATTATTTAGTAGACTATCTATTTTTATTTAAATTCAATTGACAAAGTCAACCTCAGTATTGAGCAAACCAAACTGCTTGTACCTTTCGTTGGCAGCCCAAGTGTTTACCTTCGTATGTAAAAATTTTTGTGAGTTCGATAGCCATATCAATTTTCAACAATTTTGAAATTTTTTTTAGATAGATTCGATTTCTCTCAACAGTGTTTAAGTACTCAATGTTTCACACTGAAAATTTCTCGTAGTCAAAGCTCAAAGTTCGATCTTATTAACAGGCTTGGGTCTGTGCATTGCCCTGGTGTTCCATGTAGTTTTGGATCATGACAAAGCCATGTCTAGGTGTATTTTCCGTACGTTTTTTTTGGTTTCAGACCTTTTGTCGACGGTCATTTTATTACATTTATAAGGAATATTCTAAATGTTTGTTTAGGCTAGTGGATCTCAATATAGTTCGTATTCTGCGAAAACGCAAAAACGAATGTATGCGGTGGTACAATTATGAAAAAGAAGATGTTTATCAATTCTGTGGTCCTATGTTCACTGAATATGAAGATGCAGCCGTCAACTACTACATTAAATGTATGTTTTCGTGTGTATTTGATCCCTTAATAATAGATTGCTCGTTGAAGCAAACATGGGTTTAAATAATTTAAAATTGAGTGCTCACTCCAGTTAAGCGCAGTTCGTATTTTAATTTACGACTGTTGCTAAGTGTATGACCAATTTGTGTTGATTTTCATTCACTTAAGAATTGTAAGTCAATATAACGAGTTAGTAAATTCAGTCTTTTAATCAATTGTTTACAGTGCAATCATTCCAAATCACTAATTGATCGGTACTGTACTCATTATTTTAACAATTGAATTGTCATATAGTCTACAACACTTGTCTTCCTAAATTGCAAACCAGTCGATAATCGTAGATGTTGAGTGATATGACTTAACATCAGTCCTAGTGATGCAGACGCACTTTTTTACACTTATTTAGATTCTAAGTTTTAGTGTTATTCCATTCTTTATATTCAAATCGACACTCGATCTATACTAAGGACTAAACGCAACCGAAGTTACCGTGTGTAACCAGCTACGTTTTACAGTCTACGAACATCTTTATTATATATAATCCCTAGGACAGTGATAACTGGCGTCCCACTATTGGTAATCTACGAATTAGTGCAGACACCAACCCTGTCCGTTATCCATCACCACACATCACTCCCTTCAGACTATGAATTTTTGTGTATGCCTTTCAGTTTATGGTAACTCCAACCAATGTACATATGTGCTAGGTTCTATATTTTAAATGACTGACTAGGTTTAAGAAATGTTGCTCAGACTTTTCAGAGATTCGTCGATGACGTACTTTTCAATATGATCAACGGGACTACATGCATAAGTTATTCAGAGGTCTTGACTTCGTGCATGCACACCTTGATTACTGTCTTATCGCAATACCAGACAATCTCTGTAACGACCAGACTTTAAATATTTTGTCTGAACGGAACGAACTGAGGTTTATTCGATTATATTAATTTACGCCCTTCTGTTTAGTTTACGAAGTTTCTTTGAGTCTCTCAATCAAAGATTTTATCAAAACACATTTTGTACGTAATTTAATAACTGTCAGTCTTTTCATCACAATACATTTACTCATTCCTTTTATAAGATGGAGAATTACACTGGTCAACAAGCGTTGTTGATGCTTTTATGAAACAGAAACATCGTTTACTATGGGAAAAACGTTACGGCCCAGTTGGTAAAGCCTCTGATGAGAAAAAGAAACTAGCTGCAGCTGGTGATAAAGCAACTAAAGAGGGAAATTTCATTTCGAAAATACGAGAAATTGGATTTGGTAGAGATATACCGAAAGAAGTTCATCTGTAGTTTACTGGTAAGCAACCCAATGTATATATATGAACACAACCTTTAATATCATTGTTAATGTAATGAAAATATTGAACTACTATTCGATAATAATGATAAAGTTGGTTTTTGCCAAGGAATTCAATTGGAGAATCATTAAAAACTGGGGTCACCAGACAGTTGTAAGTGGACGTCTACAACCCTACCGGAGACAGTCCAGGACCTTCCGTTTTTGTGGTAATCCTGTAACTCATTAGACTGCTAGGTTTGAATTCAGTGGCCCACATTCCCGAATTCAACCGATCCCTGACATAATTCTGACCCTTTTGACATGTCTACAACATAGAAGTGTACTCTTTGTTATCCACACAATGCTGATTTAAATCGAAAAAAAACTTTAGAGGATCGAATTACTTTTCGATGTACCTCTACTTTTGTTATATGAAGCATACGTTGGCGTTATACATACTCCCAAGCTGTAGTTCTCACTGATGAATCAATGTTTTCCTGTTGTGTTTTAAAGCACTTGTGATTGGACAGCCGACTTTAGACTGTAGCGTTTTAGATTCAAATCTCGCATTATTTTCAGTTTGTATAAGCAGATGGTATCGTTGCTGGTACTCATAAAAATACAGGTTATTCAAATCTAAGTACACAAACCTGTTTGTTTTAGTTATATGTTAACAGTTATTTTTCTCGGCATTTGGAATTCGTATCTTAAGTGTAAAAAATAAAAGGTGTAGTAGGACCTCTCAGTGTATAATCTTGTAAAATATCCATCTCTATGCCTCTTTCACTTGGAGAGGCAGGGATTTGTGTTTAGGGCATTCGACCCTCAGTCACCAAGTCCCTGATCCGAACACTATTCTGTCTACTTCAGTTTAGATAACCGGAAATATCAATTTACTCCTCACACTCAGAGTGTAGCTGGAACTTAATCACTGGACAGATGAGTTAACTTATTATTGCTATCGTCTTTTTATTTTTCTGAAAAGAATCTAGGTAGCTCCAAGTGTTTATTATTACCGAACTTCAAAGATGGATATGATACAATTCTCGTATGGTTATAGCCTACTGGAATACTTCTTCCTGCTTATTATCGTGCTTGCCGAATAAGTTGTTTTTTAAAAAAAGATAGTCTTCAGATTCTTCATTGAACCTGCTGACTTTCTAACAATGTTGTTTAATATTACATATGCATAGTCTTCTTCATTACGCAATCTAACTGCACACCTAATCAATCGTGTTTCTTCTTTGTCCCTAACAAAGAATATTCTTAGGTTTGAAAATTTCAATTTGTGACAAATAATAGTGACAGTATAAAAAGTGTTGATTTTTCGGTTTGTCTCGTCATCTTCAGTAGCTGATCCAATTATCATTTAGTCAGATTATTGAATCAATTTTAAAACCAAATTAATTTGTAATATAGGATGTATAGAGGCAGTTGTCAAGACTAAAGATTCCAGAGATTTGTCGAAAAATTGTTGATTTCACGGCACAAGTAAACGTGAAACAATTTTCAAAAATCCTAGGTGTTTACTAATTCAATTATTTTTATGTATGTTGTTAAATAAGCTGTACAGGATGATTCGGGTATGAAGAAGTATTGCTTAAAACGTTATTGTGGGAACTGACTAGTTAATTTGTAAGGTTAAGATTTTTCACTTTGGTAGAAGTATTCCGAAGAACTACAACGTCAAAATGCGGTGTATAAAGATTGTTTTATGAACCAGTTTTGACTTTTAATGGCTAGTCAAGAAATTGAAGTTGTTTTTGGAAAAGTTGAGACAACGTCTAGACCAATATTATTTTGATAAATTAAAAAACCCATAATGATTTGGAAAGGGATTTGTGGTGGCACAATGCCTTCAATAAGTAGGATACCTGTTAAGCATAATAATTTGTAGTTTGAATATCTCATTTGAAAGAGTAAACATCTTACCTAGAGGCGAGCTTTGTAAATAACTCAATCGTTTATAAGCAGTTTTAATGAGTTAAGTTGCTTTTCTGTGCGTGACGAACAGTCTATCTAGGTTGAGTTTATGTCATGTCATTTCAATAAGGCTATTTATGTACTGCGTAAACAACGTACTGAGATATTTGACTACATAAAAAGTGAAATGTCCATCAAAATGACGATCCAAGTTATGTTATATATTATAACGTGCTTCGTAAGATCATTTAGCGATCATTGTATAATTAGCAAGAAGTTCGGTGAGTTATTTAGTTCCATCTGGTTAGAATAGTCAAATGATATAGGGATTGTATATTAGAAATAGATCGATTTAGGTTGATGACCACAAAGAATTGTTAAATATAGGCTAGGTAAGATGCTTTGTTCCCTATTTTAAGTACGTATCCCATTAAAGCATTAACAAAAAAAACATGCTTATGTTACTGATTCACATGTAAGCTATCGTTGGAAAACCCGTGAGACATTCTTTCTTAACTTTACGGCTCATGTGCGAAACAAATAAGATTTTTGTCAACCAGTAAATCGAGAATGTTTTATAAGTCGAGATGTATGGGAGTCTATACTACGTAAAACAATTAAGTAATCTGAAATCTTACATAAGAACTTAATAGTCAAAAGTTTGAGATTCTGATCTTTGTGTGGATACAAATCTCATCAAGAACCAGTCTTAAGTGTTGACACTTTTGTTTTTGATAAGTAACGAACCACCACTGAATGAACACTTTCCCTTCTTTTTTCATAGTGCTCTAAGCGTTTAGATACCATAGCTTGGTGGGATAATCGAAATGTTCTTGTCCTGTTTTAAACATTCTATTTGTAAACTTGGTTCATGCTCTAATTAGATTACGTTCCTTCTCAGAAAATGTTTAGTTTCAGGATTATTTACCTATCGATTAATCACATTCAACCATTGTAGTTTAATTCATTCTAGATAATTATTGTATATTAGGCTAAGCTGTTACACAACATATCCGTTTCTTTAAAGGAATGAGCATGTCTGATTAGTACCACAAACAACAATGTACAATCATTTAGACTGAATGATAATCTCTAGAATAACGATCTATCCATTTTCTCCTAAAAACTGAACATACCATTCGAAAATAAAAGATCCCATGTTTTTATAAACAAACTTTTTTTTACAACTTTTAAGATCTCATCCATAAAATTGAACTGTTGTATTCTATCATCATGTATGTTACAAGTCGTCTCTTTGTAATCTAAATTAAAAAAGAATGGATAGGTCAGATAAATAGCATAAGCAAGAAACATTCAAACAGAAACGAAGCAAAACAGCCAGATTACATATCTTGGATTTCAGAATGTGTTGTCATAGAAAAACATCGATCTGGATAAGCTTTAGCCTAAATATCAGATCTACTTTGAATTGATATGTATTCAGTATGTTATGTATGTTAAAGTGTTGATTTTTTGCAACAAATAAATTGTATATTCTTGCGTGGTTGTACATCGTCAAATGGAACTGAACTATTTTAAGGAAGTATGTTGTACTAAGATTACAATAACTAGTGAAACTAAAGTAGCATTGTTTCTTCACTTGACACTGGTAAACGTAACTGCTCAATTAGGTCCAGTATCTGTCCTTCCGCATAAGATAACCTAATTTGCATCATCTGTGGGTGGAACGCTACTTCTGCAAATAAGCCATCTAGCTCAGAGTACATAACACCCGAAAGTGAGTAGTTCGTTTATTGAATCTAGACAGAAAAAGCTGGTTATGAAAGAGCTATCTCACCCTATCCACTTCATAGCCGATTAAATAGTCAATATGGACCTGTCGAGGAGGATGAAAACCCTTCAATAGTGTACATTGATAGACAGCACGATTATTGTTTGAAGTCAAGAACCTGTTGTTGTAAGCTCCGAACAAAACAATATTTTTTTCAGTTCGCATTGTCGTAATTTCACTGTCCAAAGGGTCAACGTAAATAGTAGCCAACAGTATTACCAACGACGTTTATTGATCGCAAAGAAGTCAATAGTAATCATTAAGGAAGAAATTACGATCTTGATAAACATTCAGTGAACGATTTATAGGGCTTGTAACCGCAAATTCTGTGAAGCTGTGCTTAAGGAGCTTGAATTTCAACTACTAAGTCTGAGGTCCGAACCCTGCTCTATCTACCTTCATTTCAGAAGCCAGGTAGTATCAGTAGCCCTTACACTTAAAGTGTGACAGAGCCAAGTACACGAGTCCCCACTTGGTAAATGAGTTAAGTAGACCTACGATTGCATTTAAATTCGAGTCAACAATCTTATTTACTGAATCCAACACTCAAACTCATCTGATTTACACTAACAAATGAAACACAAAATGGCAATCATGTAAAAGGTAAGCGCTTAACATAAGATGTAAGCTTTATCCTTGCTGAAAGCTTAGTAGTTTGGAAATTGACCACATACGAGTTAACGTGATTAAACGGGTTGGTAGATACGGAGGATTCACCTAGGGAAGTTGGAAAACCCTGATTCCAAATCAATCATGCACATGGGCTCCAGGATCCTGAAAGAACAAATGGCATATAAACTTATTGTTGGTCACTGGATACCATGGGACTGAATATCTTAACGTTGTTCCACTACCTTGTAGATTAGACCTCTAGATTAAAGGTTCGGGGAGTGACTCCCTGGCAGTATTCCAGCCCTCAAACAAACCGAATGACGAGGTGTGGCGCATATATATTTGGTGTCTCCTTGTACTAATATTTGTGTTTAAATAATAATAGTAAATTATTGTAGACCGTATCTTTTACAATACCATTTGTTACTTAGGCAAAAATCCAGCTTTTTGTAGAAAAACAGATTATTTCAGCTTATAACTCGATAGAATGCAATTCAGTAACAAGAGATTTGTGTATTCAGAGTTAAGTTGGACATTTTATTGTGAAAGGAGTGCTAATAATAATATCAATGATCGGAGGTTTAAACCAAAGCTGGTTTGGGCGGGGATTCAAGCTGGTAAAAAATTTGTTAGAAGGCCAGTTAGTTAGACTACTATGCTACTATTGCTCATTTGTGGAAAACGACGCTACTGTATCACTATAACTTGTAATTATAAGTCTAACAAAACGGGCATAATTAAACATAAAAATAGAAAACTAAAGACGACATATCAACTATTTTTCTTGGTTACAATGCGTACAATAAAGCATGGGTCGAACCTCCAAAAACGCGCATGCACACACATATACATTTTCATGATGGACTTGGAAGCGATGAAGAGAATGCGGAAAAGACAAATAAAACACATCATTAATGCGACAGGTTAAAATAAATAATTTATGTCATTATAAAATGTCAAAATGAGGTAAATGTATATATAAATAAGTCATTTTATGTCTCTATGATGGGTTTTCTTCAGTAAAAAAAATACTTAATCAATTACTAGATGATGATTAGTAGTAGTAATAACTAGCCATTAGACAAAAAAGTAAGATGAAGACTGAGGGGGGAGGAGGCGGTAACCCCGATAGAACATGAAAACAATATAAATCGAAGTGATAATAATATAATCATTTTTATGAATGAAAACATGATTTAAATGCAGACCGAAATCATGGTGAGGTATAATAACTAGTATAGAAGCACATTGAGTAAGAACGATTTGCTAGTTTAGTTTCTCACACCTCCCCCCTAGAAAAAGTAGAATAGGTTTTAACATTTTAACACAGAAACAACAAATAATGTTCAGTATTGGAGCTGTCAATTACTAATTAGTGCTCCGTATTAATGAAATCACATTCATGTAACATAAGAATACAGTAAACAGTTTATGGTAAGAAATATGCATGGGTGATGATTGTGTTGGTGATGAAATGATAATTGGTTGATTTCTGTGAGCGAAAAAAACAAAACACATTAATAACAGTATTTAAGAAAAATGGTGAGATTTAATGCCACCTCCTGGATAGGGAGAGAAAAATAGAGAAAAGAAATGTGAAAACGGAATACAACAAACACGAATATCAAACTAACAAGTAAAAAGCGAATATGGAGATAATATAGGACTCCCAAGTAATGTGCATCCTAGAACCCGGATCCAAGAATAGAAATCAGGACCAGTGGTTTCGCGCGCGAATGCTTAACCTCTAAACCAACGCACTAGCGTCCAATGGTGTACAGTCCTAACTTTAATCAATCTACGTTATTGCGCAGTTCCTTCCCGTCGAATGTGGTGGATGAATGTCTCACATCCGGTGTGATTGACCTCCACTGATCACGACTTCTAGCTATAGATCAATCGGTTACATCTTGAATCTAGTCACTAGTGGACAATTATTATTAGTATAGAGGGATTTATGAAGATTGTAGAAAGCCGATAAAAAGATGGAACGGCCATACAGTCCTTCCATATATTCAAAGGTTGTCTAGCTCATTATCAGTTCATGATCTAATCTATTAGAAATTTGAAATCTCCACGAAACTGATGCTAGTAGGGGCAAAATATAATCAAAGGAAAAACTGGCTAGTAATACTGGATTACAACTCTTTATGAGATTTGTGTATACTAGAACTGTATTACTCATGAGTAATTAGTCTGTCTTACTGTAAACTTTTCGTCGGTACACCCATTCACATATCAGACTAAATTGAACTGGTGTTTATCCGTGATATGAGTTGACTAATGTAGCCAAGTTTACCAACTCAAATATGAGCTCCTTTTAAACTAAGCTAATTACTATTCATTGCAGAACCTATATATATTCATATTCGAAGCTTAGGTTGACGCTTTCGATGTAGTGTTCTCTGGGCAGAATAGTTTAATTTCTGAGCTATTTTCCCCATTATTGACAGCATCTCCAGGGCCTACCTCATGTAGAAGTAAGGTTTTCAGTTATTTTACAAGTTTTATATCAGCTCGCCCTGATGGCAGTTTGTGATTGGCTGTTGTCTTCATTTATCCTTATATTCACGTCGACTGTCTTCGTCAGCTAGCCTCTAACCTTATGATTAATTGACCTCTCCCAATATAAATCCATAGATTGAGTCTACGTCAATGTATCTGTTGGTTGACAATTGGTCTGAAAACAATGCTTTTAGAAATTCTCTGGCATTCTTAGATTTTCCCCAATGCAGAATTTCGACGTCCCTTAAACCCAGTTAATGTCCATGGCTGTCTGCACGTATTGATATCAGGATAGCACAGCATACCTTCACATTGCTAGTCAGTGTTCATTTATGGATAGATGAACAAAGCGCCCACTTCGTCCAATTTAATATTACTCGCAGTTGGTGCAACATATTTTGTAAATGATATTTTGTTGATCATCATATTCTTGTTGCATCTTTTAGTCTACACAGAATGGAATGAAGTGATTGAGTTGGTTTCTGAGCATCTGATTCTAAACGGTTTTAGAATTCTTGTAACGGTTTGTTAAATATTTCTTTTATATGGGTAGAATGATCTGTTCAATAGTTCCCAGGGTTCGTTTTTTGATTATATGTTTGTTCGCTAAACACCTTTTAATATTGCTGTAGCAGTCGTTCCTACGGAAGACAGATTGAAAATTAGCTACTCCAACTTTTCGTGTCGCGCGAATACTGTAGTGAACTTTGGTCTCTTTAAAGTATCCGAACATAACTATTCTGTATAGTGTTGGGTTGCTACTGTTGTAGTTGAATAACTCATTTGTGTGATTTGGTTCCCAAAGTTCTTGTGTTTGTTCTGTTAATTAAAACGTCTAAGAATGAAAATTTTTGTTTCTTCTTCTCTGGTAAATTTTATGTCGTTGAAATTGTTATCAATCGATTTATGAGTAATTTCAACTTCCCCTCTCTTCAGGATAACGAATTTTTCACTGACAAAACGTGTCGAAATCTTCGGTTTAATTATTGGTAGCGTTGTAGCTACGAGTCTTTGTATAACAGTCAATCAAAATAGATCATCAAAATCAAGTGATGTAACACTTGGCGAGTAATTGAAAATGTAACGTCTATATAACGTAGGCGTTGAAGATGTTACCCAGAATAACAATAAAAGCTTCACAACTAAACCATTTGACTTAGATAACAGGACACTAGCAAATATTAATATATAAATATTTCAGAGAGCCGAAATAGTCGTCTCAATTTAGTCGGCTTCAGGTGTGTTATGCGGCGAATTTTTCACTTTTTGGTTTAAAGGTATTATCCAAATTAAAAGAACTCCGGTAAAAAGGAGAGCCATAAATTAACTGGTGATATGGTTTTGCTTTTTTCGGTCAATTTCACTTATGAATAATATGTATAAGTTATGTTTAGTTAAAGTGATTCCTTGAGGCTTATTACTGTACACTTTCGTCCTAATTATGAGTTAATTATTAAGCAGATTCTAAGAGTTTTTAGCATAAAAATGTAGCAGCACTTGCCTACTAAATGAACGAAAAAATGTCTGTAAATAGTGAATACATAAAACGTAGTGAACACTAAAAATGTTGAAGATAATCTTTATTATCAAAGCGGTGATCAAATGGTTAAAACTCGATTTCCAACTATTGAATAATAATAATAATGGGCAAATCTGTACTTAATTAATGAATTATATAAGTACCTAAAAAGGCCTATAGTAATTCTGGCGTTGCAGTGCGCGTCCACAAACTCCATCCGGGAAAAAACCCGGGACCTTTAAGTCTTGTGGCGAGCAATTAACCTTTAGATGATATATATATATATATATTCGCTGAAGTGACTTTCATAAAAACTATAAGAATACGTAGTGAGAATTGTTCAGATAATTGGACAGTAGTGCATATATTCGAAAAAGTTGGGGAGTAAAGAAAAGTTAATGAACAAAGAGTATGGAAAATAATAAATAAAACCTTTTATTAAGACTAATTTGGCCAAGGAAGAGATAGAGATGTTGCGAATTTTTTATGAATACAAAGACTTGGGTTGTTAGCTCGAATTCCTATAACTTCTGCTATGTGTAAAAGATGAGATCGAACCCCATAAAGAAAACGTGTAGGGATATGGTAAATCACTTTACATGGCCTATTTCTATGTACTACATGAGCGCTATCGATCAAGTGTGACAGAACAGCGCTGCATATGGTTATGACGATACCCTTTCGTAAGCACGAAGAGAGGTGTTCACTAACTCGCTGGCTTACTTGTTCGGTTATACGTCCAATATAGATTTCTCTACAAGAGCTGCTGAAATCGTAGGTACACACATGTGGCAGAACCAGGTAACTTATCCCTAACTTGAGGAATCACAACAGATTGATAACGTTCTCTCCACTGCTCTAGTCAGTCTATCAATAGCACATCACCAGCTATATCTCCGCTGAATTGCAGTTTCAGGAAAAGAAGATTCTTACGAACTGTTAATGTCTCTACTTTCCTGTTTATTACATGCAAGTGTTTTTTAAAAAAACCTTGTGGATAACCCATTTTAATCGACATATTATGATTAAGCTCTAGTTCCTTGTTTATAGTGTTGTCTAAGTATATCTTCCTAGCTCCATTTTCAAGACATTTAACTAGGTTTCTGTTATAATGAATGGGTATAAGGCCCGAAAAGTGTGTGTACTGGCTTGCTGAAGAACAATTCTCATACACGTTTCTACCGAGAAATCCACTTTCTTCTCTATATAACACAGTGTTGAGGAAATGTAGTTTGTCATCAAGTTTCTCTTGACACGTAAATTTGATTGCTGAATGTTCATTGTTAAGTAGCTATAAGACTTCTTTTCGATGTTCTAATCGACGATAATGAGTTTCAGCAATGTAGCAGCAATAAAAGTCAGTCTCATCAATAGACTCTTTGAAAGGTCCGCCCTCTAGATTCGTAGGAAATAAATCAGCAAGGATAGAACCTAGTGATGGATTCATCGCTATTCCATCAAATTATCTATAATATGTATTTTTAAAGACAAATGAACGTTCATTGTACATTTCAGAAGTAATTCTTTGAGGCTGATTTGGGAAATTCCAATACTGATCTGTTCTTCAAGTAATTGTTGACTCACAAAATCAATAGTCTCGGTTAATCGTACATTGATGATCAAGGAAGCAACATCTACAGAAATCATCCATTTCCTATCTAAGTTCCGCCTTGAAAATGAATTTGAAAACACTGGGAAAATTATGAACGTACCGCTCCGGGTCAAGAGGGAACTTTCTTTCTCGTTTTTGATGTTCGAGTGATTTCATTAGTTCTGTCCCTAATTTCTCGGGACTAATTTTCGCAACAACTTTAATATAATCCATGAATTGTGATTTTATTACCGATGGTACGTTGTCGACAGTTCATTTCCTTTGCAAAAGATTTTCCAGACCGATTATGTGCATTTTTAATGAATATGGGTATTTTTAAGGTTTTAAAATATTAGAGATTCCGATTGTGAAAATTAGAACAACACAGATATATTGCTTTCAACTAGACCGTTAGCATGCTCCACCTTAATATTTATGCTTAAGTTTTTTAAACTAATCGATGGAATTTGTGAGTTAGTGATCACAATACAGTAGATTACATAACTGCAATATGCTCACTGTCAACCAAGTGTGGCAAGATAGAGATATGTATTGTCTCTTTCTGGTCCTTTCCAAACCAAGCTGAGAGGTATTCACTTATTGATTGGTCAAGTTGTCTGGTAGTACACTCAATATAGTTATCTCTGCAGGAGCTGAATTTGTAGATGAACACTAAGATCAACTTAGGTAATTTATCCTTTTTTGGATAGATATCACCAGCTAGCATGTCTAACTTTAATAAATTCGCGTTATTGCCATCGGTGAGTAACTTCCTCAAATCCCCTGATTACAACTTCTCACTAGAACTCTTGGAATCCCCTCTCTAAATCAATCACCAGTAAGCACATGATTACCATTAGTGTAAGAGGTTGGTACAAATATGCAGTTGATTTTGTAACTCTAGGATCTTTATCTACAGGCATCCTGATTAGTGATTTCCGAATAGAAAAAAATAGCAAGCAGTAAAATTCAAAAGTCCGCCAACGCATTTTTTTTTACACTTTTCGAGATGATCTGTGACTTATTAACTTAGGCGCATTTAACTATGAACTGAGTCGGAAAGTTTGAATTCTGAGTAGCAAGGACGAGTACGATGATATAGGATAATATATTTCATTTCAGGTTTATCAGATTTCGAAAAAGTGTATGCGTAAAAACAAAACACCAGACAGTGATATGTTTGTTATGAATACTTGTCAAATTAACTCACATTTTGAACAAAATAAGATATTATGACATGGAAATATACATAACTTGCCAAAAAAGGAGTATGTATTCAACTCTGATATACAAATTGAAAAAGTAGAAAGATAGGAATTCTTGGATTGAAGAAACGATACTCATAGCTAATATATATATACATATATATATATATATATATATATATATATATATATATATATATATATATATATATATATATATATGTATATATATATATATATATATATATATACGTCAGCTTGAATTACTATACCATATCCACACGATGACATGAAATTACTTAGATAAATAGTGGAGTCAAAATAATGTGGTAAAAATGATAATGAGAAAGGCTAAATACTTAATATATGATTTCAATAAAGGAATAAAAAAACGCATGTATGGAGGAATACTAGAACTCGAAGTTTATAAGAAGATAAATGGTGAATGCACTTTAGGCATTATGATAAATTCTGAGCCATTTCACCCAATTGTCTACACAATCTTTGGTCACTATGATCGTGCAAATACCAACCAGGTGATCTGTACTTAACAACATTATTTATTTATTTATTTGAACACATGAATATTGGTACAAGAGAGCGCCAATATATATGCGCCACACAAAACAATGAGAATTCGAAGAGAAATAGAAAAACAAAAGCTAAGGAGCGCAAAAAAAAAAGAACAATAACGAAGAGATTGGTGTAGGGTAGTGTGGTAGTAATGAGGGAACGGAAAGGTACAATCAGAAGAAATCTTCCAGGTAAGGGAGACACAACCACTTTTTATGAAGAAAGTAAAAGAAGGTTACAGAAGGATCGCCACTGGCCACGGCTTAATTCAACAGTCAATGACTTCGTGGATTGATGCCACGTCTTCATTTGGCCACCACTAACTTTCTTCCAACTTTTACACCAGTTAATAACATGAGTCGAGGTATGGGATATATATATCAATGACTTTGGAGATAATTTACATCATGCAATGACTTTAATGGGTAACCATTGAAAACTAGAGAGGATTGGACAAGTGTTTTATTTTAGTTTAGAACTCTCTATTTTAACACTACACCTACAATCTACATACTACTTGGAAAGAAAAACTAGCCGTAAAAAAATAATTTCAAATATGTTGAACACCTTAAAACCGTTAGATTCTTAATAGTAGTTATTTCAGTCGACTTATTAAAAAGTTTAGAATAATATAAAACAACAATCCATTGTTGGGTGCATATATGCGTAATCATATTATGTCATGGATAAATTTCCCTGTAGATGTAAACAGTAAACATGTATATGCAATACAATAATAATAATAATAATCTATTGCCTAAATGTTTTAACTACCAATGTATTTGGTCCCGGTCAAATGAAAACGAAATAAGCTAATTTTCCTAACACAAATATTGTTTAACCCAGCTCACAGTCTCAGACGTTATCACTGAACTGTTTGAGTAGCAACTGACTTCTAGTATGATTGAAATACTTACTGATATATATGGGCATCTTTCAAAAAAAATCCAAGTCTTACCTTGGCCCAACTTGTCGATCTTTATCGGTTAACGGAACATAAATCACACCCATTAAAGATTTTCTTTGAAAGGAACCATCTTGCAAACGATCAATTTGAACTAATGCTTGATTTCCACCTTCTGGTCCTTCAGGACAAATTAAACGACCACCAATTTTCAATTGTTCTTTTAGCTAAATTAATAAATATAAAAATGATATTAAAAAATGAGGAAAACACATCAGTCAGTGGGTTGAAGTCAATGTAGAGCAAGCTGCAAATGTCGGTAAGGTCAGCTGGTCACTCCACATTAGCACGATCAAATGAATTTAAAAAGATGAGTAGCAATAATAGAGAGAAACATTAAGGATTTGAAATACTGTTCAAGAAGGGATGAAAGTGTATGTGTGAAGGAATATTGGAACTTAAGATCAAGAGGAAAATAAAGAGTGAATACACTTGTATTACTGTGAAAGATTGTGAGAAATGCCACTCAACGTCTCCAATCACTGATTGTTGTTATCGCATAGATCTCGAGTAATACATAATAATTATTTGATTAAATGCATATTTTATAAACACTCAAAAATTCAGCCTCTGATAAATCATAGTTTAATAGATAGAGGTGATCATTGTAAGATTGTGCCAAACTGAAGGAAGTAGTCAGTTAAGAGGATGAGTTATTCATCAACTAATAACATTCAAGTTGATATGAATAAAAAGTGAACACACATCCAGAAACATAACTTTTTAATGTTCATGAATTTTAGGTTACAAAATATATCTCTGAACTTACTGCATTAGGAATAACTGGAGCCGCTGCACCTACGTGAATTGCATCATAAGGTGCATCTGACGGCCATCCTTCACGACCATCACCAGTAACAAGTTTAAGTTGTTTTCCTAATTCAATTCCAGATAATCGAGCATTTTGGCTATGATTAAACCAATTTTCAACATTTGATAGAGAAAATTTAGTCAACTCATCAATATGTTCTATGCCTACAGCAACACCTGTAGGGCCTACCTTAATATCAAAATTAGAGAACATAAAACAAATGAATATTTTACGATAAATCTAATTTATAGAGTAAAGTTTCCTGAAAAAAAATGATGAGACTATCCATAACTGCAATAATTCAACAATACTGAATTATTTAACACTCATAAAACTGTCAGTCTTTAGGTTATAATTATAATTGTTTATTATATTAACCAAACTTTGTAATATGTATAAAAACATTCATTTTATTATGTCTTACTAAGTTAGAAACAATTACCAAATAACAGAAACAGTTATCACTAGTGGCAATGAATAATCGTTGGGTTATTTTGTATATTCCGAATAATACCGCTGAACGCTGACCCAGTAGTTCTGATGGTTCGGCATTTGCTGTGAGACTTGACGATTCTGGGGTTTAACCCCTAGTAGGGTTGTAGATGGGCGCCGCTGAGGAGTCCCATATTAAGATAAAAACAGATACTCAGTATCCCTTGGTTTTTAATAGTAAACTAACTGAGATAGATTTGAGAATATAGCTTACAAATTAAAATATTCTACACCAAACCCTTTCAACTATATAGAATATCAGTTTGAATCGTCACAATATCCAAAGGCATATGGGAGTATATTAAAAGAAGCTGAAAGGATATAATAAGAAACAAACAAATAGAAAGTAATGACGATGCTTTATTAGAATTAGTACTATAACCATGAACTTATATTTGTACAGTTGTTTTTTATAGCTATACTCTATTGATCTATTTGAAATGATGCCTATTGATAGTGATATGAAGCAACTGCTTCGTAGTTGAATTAATTAAACCAGTAGAGTGAAAGTTCAAACTCACTAAGACTATTGAAGTTTGAACAGTATATTAATGTCCCTAACCTTTCCACGAAAAATAGTACACGAGTATGTACTTTTTTACTGATACATAAAACGAAAGAAATCCATATTTAAGAGTAATTATCGATCAGTCAGTGTTATAAGTCACCAAATGAAATTCCTTTCATCTGTAACAAAAGTTGATAACATACTAAATTAGGCAGCTGGGATCAATTATGACCTCCAAAATATCAATATCAGCTTTCTGAGGTAGTAATTTGAAAGAACTATTCCGATGTTTATTCTAATTAGATGAAATTTTATACCGAAGCACTTAAGTTTAACAAAGGGATTTACTATGTTGTCGAACAAAAAAGTAACTACCTCATGGTTACAATCAGTAGTTGGTATCGTAATAACTGTAGCTGCTATCTTGACGCGATGGTCAAGTCTTACTGTCTTGATGACTCAATAGAGCTATGTTGGTTGGAACACTTGCTCTTTTAGGTTCACACTTTATACCATTTAGTTGATAGTATAACTACTCATAATAAATACAGCTTAAAGTCTAGTACACAAAAATGAACTTGGTAGACTAGTGAAATTATATGGAATGAGAGTAAGGGAAGCATACATATTGTATATGCATAAGCATGATATTCATTTTATAAGTGAAGGATATAAAACGATGACATGATATGACAATAATATCTCAATAAAGCGAGATAAACTTACCATAAGAGCCATACACGCCGTTAAATATCCACTACCTGATCCAACATCTAAAGCATGTGCACCAGGTTTAAGATGATCTCTTAATGCTTCCAGAGCATAAGCATGCTACACATTTTAAAAAAGAAATTAAATAGAAAGTAAAGCTTTCGAACAACTTCAGGTTTTCAATATTAGTTTAAAAATGATCGATTCATGATCTTAATCAAAACTCAGAGATAGTACATTGTCAGTTCGATGGTAAATAAATAACAACCTGAAGCAGCACTCATGAGTACACATATCATAAGGTTGTGAGAAATAGGGACTGAACAAACAAATGGTACTACCTAATTGAACAAACGTTATCAGATGAAGCAGGACCCAACCCTCTAAACAACTAGTTGCGATGTTAGTAATAAAAATCAATAAGTGAATGTTCTATGTTAAAATATACAAACGACATGACTGTTACGTAACAGACTATTTATTCAACGTCAACGCATATTCATTGGCCAATGTACGTAACATTTGAATTAACCTAACACCATACCACTCTATGATGGTGAAAAATGCTAAACGAAATAGGTAGTTATTTTTATTTGACGCCTCATTCGTAATGCTTAGAAATAAATACCATGGTGCACAGAACTGAAAATAACTCACTAATAAGTTTACTTGAGGAATTCTACTCTCAAAAACTAAAACACCTAATGCTATTATGCTGATCGATGCAGTTAAATCAGCACCAACAAACACAAACTAACGATGGTATTAATTTGACGGTCGATTAATCTTAATAATGTCATTAATGTGTAAACTGTAAACCGACCGCTTACAAGTATATATGTAGAGGTTAATTTATAATATCTCGTTAACCGAGTATTTAACACAGGCTAAATCTTCTAGTAGAATTATGAATTTACTCGGAATTATTCAAAAGCACGAACACAAGTTGTAGAGATAGTATAATGTTAGTGATTAGTGAAACTCCACAAGTACGCAGATATCCAGCACACAGGGAAACGAGTGAATGTTCAAAATCCATGTATATTTGTGAATGTTAATTGGTTGTGGATAAATTATTGATTGACTGTGTGTTACAACCAATGAGAGAATAGATAAAATTGGTGTGCAGACACGCGCTCAATCAAACTCACACAAAATTTTACCCCATTCGGGCTATATGAGTTTATTCGCATGCCTTTTGAACTAAGGAATGCCGTACAAAGTTTCCAGCGTTTTACTGATCAAGTGCTACGTGACTTACCGTTTGTATACGCTCACATAGACGACTTATTTATCAACAGCAAAGATGAAAGTAAACATTTAACTAATCTAAAAATGTTTTTCGAGAAGCTAAACGAGTATGGATTAGCAGTCAATCCTGAGAAGTGTGAGTTTGGAAAGCAACCCCCTCGCCATTTTAGGTCACGTACTCGATAATCAAGGTATCAAACCAGTTCCTGAGGGAACACAAGTCATCAAAAATTACCCTTTACCCGATTCACTCAGAAAACTACGACGTTCTCTTTAGACGATCAACTTTTACCGACCTTTTATTCCGAAATGTGCTGACATAACGAAATCACTAACTGATTTGTAAAGGGGGCGCGCTAAATCATTAATTATGGCACCGCAAGCATTTGAACAGTTAAAAAACGCCTTAAGCACCGAAGCATTGTTTGCACGAAGAAAGTTCGATGCACCTTCGAAAGTAATGATTGACGCCTCTGATGTGGCAATAGGTGCTGTACTGCAGCGACGTGTCAACCAACAACGGCAACACCTTGCATTTATCTCTAAAAGCTAAACGCAACACAAACAAAATATAACATGTTCAGTAGAGAACTGTTGGCTGTCTATTTAGCCATCAAACACTTCCGGTATGTTAGAAGGCAATTCTTTTGCAATATTTACTGAGCGCAAACCTCCAAATAAATCCTTGATACATAATCATGAGTTCGAAAATGATAACATCTGAGAATGAAGATATTTTGAAAAAGATTAGTGCAATACTTAGTGGAAAGTAAGGAGTAATGATACTTTTTTGATTCACAGATAATTCAATAGTCATTCATGTCACTTATGACTTTAGAGACTTGCAAATTCGCGAAAATGATCGGCTAAAAAATATCTAAACTTCATTTTACGATCCCAACCCTTCAACTTCTAGTGCAATGTAACTTATTAACCAGGTATAATTCCAATATTATTTTTATGCTGCATTTCTCGTGATACTATTTTGTGAATGGAGGATTTGAACTCACCACTTACTGGTTGGAAGACAAGTTCTTCAACCAATAAGTCTCTTTTAACTAAAAGACATTCATTTAGAAATTGAGATAGTTGTGGACATTAATTACGCGGATGGTTATTGGTCTTGCTTGTTAGTGTACTATAGCTCATTTTGAGGGTTAATTTTTCCTAAGACGAAGATTTAGTGGCTGTTTGAATTACACGAAAATCAAAGGCTGAAACAAAGATATACTAATCTGATGAAGAAATCGGATGAAATAATTTTCGGAAGATCCAGTCTGAAATATTCCAACTAGCCAAAACTCATACGAAAGTCTAGTGATTTAAGTTCCGACGCTTCAATAGTATAAAAACCATTAACGCAAGAATGAGAAGTAACACGTTAAGGTGATGAATAATTCTGGCGAAAAATTACAATATTATGTGTAACGCTACAACCACCAGATTTTTCATGACAAGATTTCAGACATATATTTGGGTTTACAGATATCAACGAACTGCCTTAGCATATGTAAGGTCGTTTTGGCTCTGTAAACCAAATCAAAAACTAAGAGTAAACTTCTAAATTAATGAGAACCCATCAGCAATATAAAGGTCTACAGGGAATAAATGCTATCGTATTTTTCGTAGCCATCTTAATCAGATTATATTACAATGCGACAGAATGTATATAAAAAATGTGGTTAAACTGATTAACGTAAACCAGTTTGCCAAAACAATTCATAATTTTAAGGTTCAAACAACTTCCACGATAGCAATCTTAAGGAACCCTAGAGATGCTTCGGAAAAGTCTGTATTCAAAATGCTTGAAGGTATTCCATATTACTTAATTCTAAAACAGTTAATACCATGAAATACTTCCATGGTGTACATGGAGGTTTAACTATGTCGATTCACCGCAAATAAGTTGCTAATCATTGCTTGAAATTTCAACAGATTTTATTCCTAATAAATTGATGTAGAGAAAACCAAACGGTCTTAGACTGATTATCCAAGACAGTGGCGAGACTACAATTTGCGGACGAACTAATCAGACTCAAGACACCAAGTCTTGCTTGTTAGCGCGAGATTCACACATTCAAATGGCTAAATAGCATTTAGAAGTTATGGCTGATGTTAGTTCATACTGAGAACACCAACTCTAATTCCGAACCATAATTCTTCGCACTAACCTATAACTTTCTTTCAACTCTAGTAAGCAGGTGAATATTTTTAGGTCCATTTTAACAGCGCTCGAAGGTCGTTCATACATTAAAGTTTCACCAAACGTCCTTATCACAACCGTTCAATTCGAATAACTGAAAACAGTATGTGAGATCATTCGCTTCCTAGTGGTTTACGAAGAACAAGGATTTCTACAGAATTACTCAGTCGGTTTTCTGAGTTGTTAAGTTTATAATATGACAAATTCTAACGACTAAGGATTGGCTAGGCCAATTCATACTGACAATTACACCAGTAATGGTCTTAGAAATAAAGACGTTTATTTACCTGAGAAACCCTATTTGAAAGTAGAGGACTATTGGTTTATCTCTTCCCAGAGAGATCGATAGGGTTTAAACAAGAAAATAATGCATCGCCAACTAACTATTAAATTCATAATAATTCGACAGTCGCATGCTACTCAAAATCCAACTAGCTCCACTGTATAATCACACTGTGTAAAATAAGCTGTTTTTGTTAGATTTTGGGATTATAATTGTGTTGTATAACTTGGACCATCATCCTTACCATATGAGGAGCACTGATAGTCGCGGCATAGCCGATAGAGGATGGTCGGTCTTCGTAAGAATTCGATCTGGCAAAGTACCCACGATCCACGGAAAGCATAGTATTCTTGACAATCTCAGATGAAATTACTCGATTTCCTGTTTGAAATGTTAAGGAGAAAGTCTAATTACTGAATAGATTGTTTATAAGTTCTGTATGTGTGCTACCGCTCGACTTCCAAGCCATGGATGAGTTGGTAATAAGTAGAAGAGTTAAAGCGATTAGAGTGTATCTAAAAACGTTTACTGTATTCATATCTTATTAGATAAATGTTTAGTAACCACAATTAAGCAACCATAAGCAGGAATTTGATATTTCCACTGACCTTCATAATTAGTCATAATCAGCATCGAGAAACAACGTCATTCCTATCACATTAATTTCAAGACAGCTAAAGTAAATACGTAACTTTACGTAAAATACCTCGTTCATTTTTATTCATTTATTTGTAACTGTAGAGATAACAATTTTGGAAAGTGATGTCATTGAGTCAAATATCCACTATCTTGGCAACGGGTTTTATAATATTTGATCTCGTTTTACAATGTTAGCATGTGATTCAAGGTCTTTGGTATCATTCATTATGGGTCGTTTTACTGTTCAGCTGCACTATTCTTAGTATATTTGAGAGTTGATTTCAGGTTAATATTTATTGTGTATAAACGAGTCCGTTTGTTCTAGGGCAGTCGGTATGCTGGGATCGGCAGTTTTCACCTTACTGAGAGCGATATGAGCTTGTTGCAATCTGAATGATTATGAAGCTAGAATGTGGGGGAGCGGAGATAAGATGACAGTTAAGATTATTGAACGAATACTTTATTCAACAAATGTGAACAAACAAAAGTTTTATCATAACATGTAAACGGAAGCAACAGTAGGTGGTAGTAATGAGAAGAATGACGCACGCTATACGTAGTTCCTGTACGGAAAAGGCTATAAGCCACAGGTGGGTATATAGTTATTGAGCCTCTCCATAAGGCTGTCAGCTGAAAGGGATGTCGTCAAGTCGGCTTGGAGAGCATTTCAGACAGGGATGAGTCATAATGAATCAAAGTGTGGTCGTACTTAGGTATTGGGTCATTGGTATAACATTTGTCTTCGGTTGCCTCAAGAATTGCAACGGTAATCTTTACTTGGGTGACTGAATGCCCAGTTTGTTGCATACTACACGTTGCGGCGAGACTACATGTTAAAGACGAACCAATCAGATTTGAGATCTCGGATTTTAGCGCGAAATTCATCCACACATTTGGCTAAATACCATTTCGGCATTATAACTTATGTCAGTTCAGAATGAAAACCCTAAATCTAGTTCCTAAGCCTAACCATCAATTGCACATCATAATTCTAATTCCTCACATTGCTTTATAACCCTTACTTAGTCCTAGTTGATAGGTGGGCACGCTCAAGGGTCATTCATAAATTACAATCTCACCTCCCTTAGTCCTATTATTTGAAGCAAGACAAGTACCAGACAATTTGTAACTTTTTGAACCATTTTCCTGATTATTATGATTTAGATTTTCATTGTAAACTTGGTCAGTAACCTAATCATTGCATCTCTATGCTATCCTCACTGTAAGCTTCCAGGGGATTTGTTGGTTGACGTTGCGCTTACCTCTATTTCCTAACTGTTACCAATTGATAACGTAATGCTTGCTTCACTGTATGCTTCTTGTCGCATTGTTGTGTTTAAAGCACGGTTTTTTATTTGGTATACTATTTGGCCTAATACCACGTGTATATAAATTAATAGATGTTTGATATGGTTGTTGGCTGTATTTGTTAGTTAGGCTGGGTGAGTGAAATGTACTTAAGCAGCTGTCTGATGACTTCTCTTTGAACTTAAGGAAGGGAAGAGAGAAAAGTAGGCAGATAGTGGATCAATAGAAGTGTAGCCCGTGTTGGCCCATGGTTAACTGTACAATGCGAAAATACACAAACCAAACATTCCACTACGTTCAGTTGTAGCACTCTCCGGAACCCCAACATACAATCTGTCAAGAAAATTTTCACGGATATTGAAACATTTAATAGATTAATCCAATCACTCCGTCAAATCTTTTATACAATTCCTGGATCAGATAAAGGATACTCAAATCAACGGCGATGAACTGGTGATATCATTCGAGGTAATAGCCTTGTTCACCTCGATCGAACCACGCTTAGCAAAAGAAACTCTGTCCTCGTTTCTCAACAACGACACAAATCTCGCAAAGTACACGAAGCTTCAAAGTCAACATTTACTAGAACTCATAGATTTATGCCTAACAACATATTTTCAATTCAACAACAAAATCTGAGAACAAATGAAGGGAACGCTGATGGTATCACCAATACCAGTATTTATCTCAGAAACAGTTATGCAGAAACTGGAAGCCTCGATCCTATCGGCGATCAAGATAAAAATTGGGATTCGTTATGTGAACAACACATTCATCATCGTCAAAAGGACTAGCTGGAAGACACCTATAATCTGATCTGAAACGTCTTCGATAGCATAAACTTCATAATGAAACAGGAATCAAACAACGATCTACCAGTCTTGGATGTATTAATCACCAGAGCCGACGCAAGAAAACTGGAAATCAAGTATATCTGAAGAGGACCAACGCAAATGAAATTCTCAATTACAGTAGCAAAAAATAAGAGCTCAAAAAATCAACTGAGTACAGACCCTATTCAAGAGGGCGAGAACACACTGAAACACTTGATGACCATCTTTCAAAAGATTGGCTACTCAATCAACTTCATAAAATAATACCAGCTAAATGCATCATCGGAAACAAAGTCAAGTACAGAAGCCAACAAATGGATCACCCTATCATATATAAAAAAACATATCAGAAACTACAACAAGATTGCTGAAACCTTTCTGGATAGGTGTAGCATACAAACTAACAAAATCACTGCAAACCAAAGGATGAAATGACAAAAGAAAAGCTGAACATCATCTACAAAACAAATCGTTCCAACCGCGAAAAACACTACATCAAACATAGCGGATGCCCTCATAATCTTCGTATGCATGAACATTAACTAGTGGTCAAACGCCACGACATATCCTCACTTATATCAATGGATGTGGACAACTATGGACACACATTTGACTGAAAATTTTTTTGAGATCTTGGATAGATGCTATTCCAAAAAACACAAGAAAATCTTTAGAAGCTTGACAATCAGGTCAGTTAGCACTCAACAAACACATTCAAATCGATCCAATTTATCATCCAATCAGAAAAATTATGGACAAACATACGACCGAAAATCAGACCAACGGTAGATGCAACCAAAATAAAGAAGTAACTAATGATAGGTTTAATGTCACCAATAACCAATAAACATCGTGGTCAACAGGACAAGATGCTAAGCATATGTGGAGTAATTCGAACACTTCACTTCTACCTGAAGTTTTTGCCGGTGATTTCTTTCAGAAAAACGATGAATGTTCCGCGAACAAACCATCCAGCACAGAGACCAAATCTTCATCAATAATGGAGTAGAGTGGGTTTTGGCTTCGTCTCCTTGGTAGCTGTCTCTGATGCCCGGGCTGTCTGTTAGCAACAGATATAGATCGCTTCCTTAGGATGGGGGTCCGAAATCTGTTATTGATACCGACATGCTGCATGTTAATCCCCGTCCGAACACTTGAACGAGAACTCAGGAGTAGACGATAAATTGTATTGGACTAATATATGGATAATATGAACGAATACTTATTTATGTGCCTACATCTCTACCCCTAAGAAAATAAACCCATTTCTTAGCCAATGATGTGCACTGTCCTTCAGGTCACACTTCATTGCCGTCAGTTGATCTACCCAGTTGACCACTTCTGACTGACCCACCATATCACGCCTTTTGAGATTCTGGAGTGGGGGTAACCACAGATATAGTCGATTTTGGTTTCCTACATTGTTTGAAGTCAAACCATCTGACATTTCTAGGGATTGAGTGTCATGCTACTCTTGTGTTTGCTCTCCCAGCCATGTTGGGCCTCCTTAAAACGTACGTCGATTAGCCCCACATCTGACAGCTGTACATAGTTTGATATCGTCTGCGCACATGGGAACTAAGAAAAGTTGGCGAATGTTTGGGACAGCAAAGAGCCTAATATAGAGCCTTTTGGAACCGTAGACATAAACGCTGGAACTTGAATTCACTATCCCAACTTTCTTGCAGAAGTTTTGTGCATATGAGTGGTTCCTTAATCAAGAAAATATTAGGTCTGTGAGTTATATTTACTTAGATTTAACCAAGAGAGGATAGAGTAGCACAGTATTAAACGCTTGAACAGTGTTCCGGAATATTGCATGTACTGGGACTTCCTGATGCCGGTGGTCTATCCAGCTGGCCCATGACAATTAGGCGTTCAGGGTGCACAATGTGCTATTCCTGAATTCGTGTTGTATGTCGTAAAATAGTTTATGAACGTTCGTGGACTCCATCATGTGGTCGCCCATTAAATTTTTCAACAGTCTCAAGAGTTCTGGAAGTGGCTCTGAAGACGTTTAAGAACCCGGATGTTTCCAGTTTTTATCCTCTGAGATAAGAGACTGGATTTTTTATACCCACTCACTGGTTAACGGCTTACAGTCTGAGGACTGTTGCAAAATGTCAAACACCAGATGGCAAAGGGCTTCGTTAGGTCGTTTTGGTACGATGGTGAGCAAGCTACTGTAGCTCGGGTGACTCGCTGGTTAAGTGTATTGGCCCTAATCCTTCCTTCATACTGCTCCTTACTATCGGACCTCTACGGCGGTGCAAATGACTGTTTTGTTCAGCAAGGTCCAAATTGAGGATTTCGACAACTTTAAAATAATAGACAGTTTCACTCCGAGTTCTCTCGGTGAAAAAAATTCTCAAACCTCTACTTCTCGTTAGAAACAAGCTTGTTTGGAAGATTTCTTGTCAATCCTTGATCATATGACTGACCTCTTTCTGAATTAGTTTATACAGGTAATGGTTAGAGCCTTTCAGTAGGCTTTACCATCTGTTTCAAGTCTCATGTTATTTAGGTTGTTCTCGTTCTCGACCAACCGAAGGTTATTTGACAGCTGGTTGTTTGGTTAGAATGGTTTTCCGCCGTTCCTCTATCTTGTGACACTCAATGTATGTTCCATTAGCCCTAAATTTTGACGGTGTCTGTTAGTTGTTTGTTGAACCTCATCTTGTTTAAGATTTACATATGAACTGTCAACACCGCCTGCTATGAGCAAGTCATCGAACAGTAGTTGTAACATTAACGACAACATCTGAAGAATGTTTTTTACTTTTGGCGATCCCTAGTGAAAAGGTGGTGAATTCCTCTTGGTTAATACTTGTTA